GTAGGTGTGGGTGTGTAGGTTTGGCTTCTCTCGTCACACACAGCCACCCACATCCACATCCACGCACACACACCCATACCCACACCTACACCCAGCCATCCACACCCCACACCCACACCCACACCCACACCCACAAATCCACATCCACACTCACACCTTCATTTGATATGAGCTGAAGAGCTGGAACTTGCCTACCCCTACTCTGTGGGAAACGTCGAAAGGGAAAAAAATGTCGAAAAATAATAGAAGAGGAAAATACCGAAAAATAAAATATTGAACAGGAAAACGCCGAAAGAAAAAAATCCAAAAAAAAGAAAAAGATGCAAACAAAGATAATATAGAGGAATAAATCATTAAATGTGGCCATAGTCCTATGAAATTTAATACTGAAGTGGCCACTACAAAATAATCAGCCAGGTACAAAATCTTTCAACTGCAATTCAGTATTCTGAACCGGCGATTTCCTGAAAACTGAGTTTATGCAAAAAGATTCCTCTTCGGTTGATCAATATCATTCTTGAAAAAAAAGAGATTCTGCTAGACTGTTGCTTTCTACTGGTGTCGTTTTCGATATGAAGTCGTAAAATATCTAAACAATTTGCTTATCATCAACAAAATGGATTTTCTCCAATTTCGACCATTTTCTTTTCGCTACTCTTCTGTCAGCATTTTCCTGTGTAGAAGTTTTTTCGTTTTGACATTTTCCACCGACTCCGAACATGTTCTCAGTCGAAACAAGATACAGACATTAGATCGATTAAAAACAACCTGTATTCAATGCACACTTTTAAAAACTTTCCAGGTGAATTTTTGAAACTCTAACAAATTAATATTCAGACAGGTATGAACAAAGTCGAAGAAGAGAATTTTCACGTTGATACCAAAGCCAAAGTTAACATATTATCGAATCGAACTTGCAAAATTCTATTTAAGATTATGTTTGAAGCCGTCAATGTCGTAAAAGATCTTAAGATGAAGTGAAGAGTCAAGTTACGACAAAATATAGAGTGCTTTTTTTTACCAGAATTTCTTCTTCCAACAAAACAAATAAAATATTATGTTTTGCTTTGTTTTGTTTTCTTTACTAAAATTTAGTTTTCAAAACAAACTGATTCAATGTTCTATTACTGAGAAAAAGTGTGGAATGATTTCCACCAATTTTTCTATTACAAATTAGACAAAAATCTTGTTTATTCTGATTGAAGCTATGAGCGACACACATTTTTATCTATCAACTAAGAGACAAAATAGAAGTCATCTATTATGAATATCAAAAATAGAAACTTGATGTTGATTCATAGATTCATACTTGAGACTTCTACGAACGATAATTAAACACGTCGTTTGAATAAAGGTAAACTATTTCTTATCTTATATTCTATATCAGGATGAATCATTTTCCGTCAGAAAAAACATTTGTATCGAATGGGTTTCATTTTCCAACATGATATTCCTTACCGTATTATTAAACTTTCTCCCATTCATCAAGTATCTCGCTTTCAACTGTTGTTTTTAGTTGTTAAACGAGTTTGGACGGTTCTAACATTAGAAAAAGAAATCAAATTTTGTCTTCGAAGTTTTAGAAAGCTGGAATTTTCAGGATAAACTACTGTGTCAATTAGTAAGTGCACAGTGCAAAAATTTACCTATGCACTTTTTTTCTGGGCTTCAAAATATCTGCAGACATGGCATTGAAAAATGTTGAAATCGCTAAAAATGAAATGATTATATTAGGATTGTAGTTCATAGTCAATTCAGTATCCACATGAAGTTTTTGTTTCTCAGATAAAACAAAATCTGAATAGAGTTGCATGTAGAGGTGTAAGCCGTGCGGCTGAGCCGCCGTCGCCGCCGATAAACTCGAAAAATTTTAAGCCGCCGCCGCCGTGACAGTAGAAATTCTAGAAATTTTTAAGCCGTCGCCGCTGAGACACTTTAATTACAGCCGCTGTGCCGCCGATAGTATTCGAAATTTTAAAATTATCGAGCCGCCGCCGCCGCCGGCAACTATTGTAAATATCGATAACATTTCATTTATATTTTCCTTAATTCGATACTTTTACATCTTAGAACACCAATATATCTCTTTTTCATTAACTTTCTCGCCTTCACCTTCACTTTCATGCTGGTTCTCTGACCAATCAGATGCTTGGGGTTCTAAATTGTGAATGAACCCTTAATTCTGTGTTGGTTGAAAATTCTAAGTTATCATTTTAGTTTATGTCTCTTATATTAGATATATTTAGAAATACAAGAAGAGACGAGCATTTTAAATTTTAATTAACAAAAACAAAATAAAAACAACAAACTTGAGTATGCTAAGTGCTTTTACTTATTAACAATCGTGGTGGTGATTTCTCGTTTATTATTTATCCTGGCAATTATATTTATTTTTAATTATAGACTTTTTTATTATGTCTAGATGTGAAATAAAGTTTTTCCACATATGTGTTTGAAAATAAAAAGGTCAAGATATTGAAATAGGCCTTGTCTACACTAAAAATTTTGACGCTGAATTAAGAAACATGATTGGTTGAACAGTTAGTAAATATTTAAAACACTTTTAAAAAGTGCATTAAATTTATTGCACATTTCAGAACAACATTAAATTTGATGCACCAATCAATGTCTGATTCGATTTTCTAATGAGACTGACACAGTTTTCAATGGAGGAGTCCTCTATGATTGAAGTGAACAAAAATCACGATTCATTTCGACGTCTAGGATTCTGATTGATGCATTAACTGTCAAATGTAGACACGAATTGATGTAATACGAATTTGATACTACATTATATTCCTAGTGTAGACAAGGCCATAGACTAATATTTTTATGATAATGTAGTACTTTTTAAACTCCAAGCCGCCGCCGCTGAGACACTTTAATTACAGCCGCCGCGCCGCCGATGGTATTCGAAATTTTAAAATTTTCGAGCCGCCGCCGCTGTGCAACCTTAGAATATCATATCTGCGCCGCCGAGCATTTTTAAAAAATTTTAAAAAACTGGCGCCGCCGCCGATCAGCCTATCGGCTTACACCTCTAGTTGCATGTTCGATGATTATCAAACGAATATATTATCATGTTAGTAAGATTTCTCTATTAAATAAATAAAACACAATATGATGATACTAAATCAATTATAATCTACAATTCTAACACAGTCATCTCCCATTTGATGATATCAAAACGTTTTATCGTCTACATGCTTTTTGAAGGACTAAAAAAAGTGCGTAGGTAAATTTTTGTACTGTGCAATTACTAATTAACCCAGAAGTCTACCCTGAAAGTTTCAGCTCTCTAAAGCTTGTGAAACAAAGGTTCATGTTTTTTTCTAATGGTGTAATTGAGTACTTCAATAATATGACTAACTAAGAAAGAATACTCTCGTCGTAGACTTTCTTAAAAGGAAGTATCTTCTAGACTCGTTTGAAAATGACGTTTTGAAAACAACGATACTTTCGACATTAACTGCGAATATCGATTGCATTTCTCATATTGCAAGTTTGTTCGTTTTCTTACCTTGAATGAATAGAAGTAGTTTTGTAATTTTCAATTTTACTTTTATTGTTGTGCGTTTCTTAAAGAACAGAAATCTTATGAAAGATAAAAACTATTGACAAAAAGAAAACGTGCATGATAATTTGAGAAAGAAGAGAACACAACTTTATCAAACAGACGGCTATATACAATTCTCATCTTGATGTTCGTCAAATATTTACTCGTTTTATAGTGGGACAGATATGAGTCAAAGTAAAAGAAAATGTATTACCCTCTGATTAAATAGAGAAATTATATAAGTATTGTTGCATGTAGCCAATGACAAAACAAATAGTAAAGTCACATGAAAAAGTTTTGCTGAAAATCGGACGTTGATGTGGATCTATATTCATCCACACAGATACCTACACCCTTAAGGAACTAGACTAAGCGAATAGATTAGAGAGAAAGATTAATGGAAGGGACTAAGGCGAAAGACTAACATGCTAAATTCAAGTAACACAGAAATATGAATGTGGGCGTAGGCGTGGGAAGATGTGGGTACCTGTGGAGTGAGTGTAGATACCTGTGGGGTGGATGTGAGTGTAAATGTAGGTTGGGATGTCGGTGTGAGTGTACGTATGGGGTGAGTGTGGGTGCGGTGTGGGGTGTGGGTGGGTGTAGACGGGTGTCGGTGTGGGTGTGAGGTGAGTGTGGCTGGGTGTGGGATGGGGTGTGGGTGCAGTTCCAGACAACAAGAATATCCACACCCACACCCACACCCTCAAAGCTGCTGTTAAATCAATAATGATCATGAAATACAATGTTTTAAAAGAACCAATGTTTTCATGTAGTATTTATAGAATTCTCATAATACCTTAATACAAGCTAGAAATACGTTTATTTTATAGCGCTGATAAAACTGAATATATTTTTAAAAAATTGAAAGAAAAGAGTAAGTTCATGGTTAAACATGTTGTACAGTCATATTGATTTCCAGTTAGGCGTGGACGAGTTATGAGCAAGATTTACATGGAAAAACATAATATTTCTGAAAGTCTGGGTTAGAAAATTGTTTTGATGATATGGAGTTGTTTAGGAAACTTTCCTCTACAGAATAAGATGTCGTCATATTTCTCAAGTGTGAAACTCAGTTTACAAAACCGTTGATAAACAACGCGCAGAATGCTCTTTATTATAAAAAAAAACAGATCTTGTTCTTTTTATTTTAAATCAAGGATGATTGCTTGTCCACGATATCGATTTTAAGTTAATAGTAGTATATTGAACTGATATACTGAAAAAATTCTAAGTCGTCTCGATCAATTTTACGTTAATTTATTTTATAGAAGGAAATTTCTTCCGATTAAACTTGAATAAATACTATCTGTGAATCAGCTGTAAACTAATGTTTTATGTTATGCTACGCAAGATCATCTTACATTGATTCCTCAAAAAGAAAAAATCAGAAAAACTTTTGATGTTTATTATAATTAATCTACCGATCATTGGTGAAAGAGATTTATTCACATTCATGGATATTGAGAGTTTGCATAGTTCGTATGACAAGTTGATGTTTGCCCCAAGAAACAACATTGAAAGGTTTTGAAGAATAATTTTCGGTTTTAATAAGTGTTCCATCATTAAGTATATAAATACATCGATGGTTATATCTATCAACTGCTATCCAATATCGATGATTAAATAAAGAACATCTATATCCCCATCCTTGTCCAAGTACAATCATCCAAATACATTCGAAAGATTTCATTGAACGAACTTCCAAATGACTTTGATTGGTTAATCCATTTTCGATAATTATTCCAAGATTGTTATCACTATATTTAATATCATTAATCATTTCATTTTCATGAGATATTATTTCGGATTGATATCGTCTCTGAAAATGAATAGATGGATAAAAATTAAATTCAGCAATAAATGGATTTTGTCCAAATGTTGATAAAAATAAAGTTGATTCAGAACATGTAACACGTTCCCAAGCACTATCAGTATTAAAATATATATTATATGGATTAAGAACCATTGTTTCTTCGTCAAGAGTAAAAATTTCTTTTGCAGAAATAAAAATAAATCTGTCAAGAGTTTCCGACCAACAAATATCTTTTATTCCTTGTTGTTGAAATGATTTTTGACGAATAATATTCAAATTTTGATTGAATAAACATAAAATTGATTTTCCAATAGCTACCATACGCATCTGATTAGTAGCTAATGTAAACCAATTATCAGATGAAAAGTCGATCATTCGCTTAGGAAATATTAAATTAGGATAGAAACGATTCTGTGGCGATAAAGAATAATGATAAGATAGAATTTCTACTGAAGAAGAAATAGAATTATTTGATGAAGATGAATCGACAAATGTATCAGTTTCCTTTTTTTAAAGATAAATGATTAGATTGTGAAAATGAAGGAGTTTGAATATCTTTCATTGGAGATGGAAGAGAAATAATCGATTTATCGATTTCTAATGTATGAAATTGATATTGAATATATTTAAGTTGATCTAGATTTTGTTCAATTAGTTTAATTGTTTGTTTAATCCAATCAAGATTATTTTTAGTTGTATCATAATTATTAATCATTAAAGCTGTTAGATTTCGAAGATGATTGAATTCTTCTTTGGTTCGATTAATATATTTATTAGATATGTCTTTACAAAATTGATCAATTATTTGATGAGATTGGCGACGCCATTCTTCGACATTTTTAAGAAATGTTAATTCATTAATTGAAATATTGTTTATTCGATGATTAAGCTCATTGAGACTCTTTAATATTAATGAATTTCCAATATTGTTTTCAAAATTATTAAAAGAATCATTCTGTTCATAATAATTAGAAGGATTAGACGATGATATTTTACCTTCATCAACATCATATGGGAATATTATCGATGAATTCATTACTTTTCTTTAAATAAATTCGTTTTATACGTCTCGAAAAAAAGATTCTTAAGAAAGAAAGAAAAACAAAATTTTTTTTTCTTCTATATTTTCAAGAGACTAAAATAGATTTTGTTTGATTTAAAATCTCAAAGCATAGAAATATAAATTAAATCATTGAATAATACTTGCTTTGTTTGATCAAATCTATTTATAGTTTAAATAAAACTTGTTGACACAATCTTCATTGTAAAAATGTAAGACATCTTTTCATATAACTAATAGTTTCCTATTGTGAAACATTATGCAAAAAAAGAAAAATTTTATTCAGACAATTTCAAATTGTTTAATCTTTTTAATCTAAAATCTTCTTATGAGCAAAATTCTTTCGTTTTGTTCACTCATACCAACAAAAAGCATTCATAAAATGTGAAAAAAATAAAATCAAGTTTTCATATTTCATGTATAAATATTTGCAAAAAGAACTCATTCTAGACTTTTATTTTAATTATTATCTGATTATTTTTACAGTTTTATAATAAAATCGCGAGTATGTATGCAAGATATGATGTAAAAAAGGTGAGTGTGGATATAGGTTTCTTTTCATCAACACACACATCCACACTTTGTTGTCACGAATCGGATGTATCAATTTATTTTGAATGATTATTTTCAATATTATTCTTTTGAATAGTATGAATTTATGAAGGTTTCTGATTCGACTGTTTAATGGTTTGGCTAGAAGGAATTGTAGATGCATTGACATCAGCACATTGATTATCAAAATGATAGGCAAATACTGCTCGTTGTATAAATTTTTGACAAAGTGGACATTGATAAGTTTCGTTACCGCACTCCTGTTGATGAGTGTTCATCGTTTCTGATGATGGAAAACCTTCATCGCAGAAGGGACATTTTATCCGACGATATCAACAATTTGTTCTCTATAAAAATCATAGTTTACAAGATAACACTTCAATATCAATAGAAAATGAAGAATATTGACCTGATGATGATCAAAACTCTTGAAATCATAACAAATTTCTTGACAATCACAAATAAATGGATTCTCTTTTTTCTCCATCGAATATTTCTGTTTTCAATTAATTTATTTTTTTAAATCTATAAAGAAAGAACGTGTACAGTTCATTTTAAACTTCATTGAGACGAAAATAGTCACATGAAAAATTCTTCGAACTAGATGTAAAAAAGAAGTGAATAATTGATAATGGCAGATCAACATTTGTTTACTTACATACTACAATATGCTCTGCTTTTTTTTTCGATGTGAACTCCCTTGACAATTCGGAATATCAAGAGTATGATATTTGAAAGTGAAACTTACTGAAAACGTTCGTTGGTTATGTTTTCATGAAAATAAGGCGTTCTTTACTCGTGAAAAAGACGATGTGTTTCTTTAAGATAAACTTGAGTGTGTTCTTTCATTTGTATAGACAAAGTCTGACAAGTAGTGAATGACTGACGCTATTTGTTTATTGTCAGTCGTTGTTTTTTTCCAAGTTTTAAAAGAAACAGAACACATGAATACTTAGGTGAAGCGAAGCTGAGTCACTGCGTGTTGATAGCCATGCGATGTTGTTGTCATAGGAAGAAAGTATACCTAATGTTGTTAAATCTTCCGTTTTATACTTCTCATCAGATATCTCGAAATAAGATGAAAAAAAAATTCTTTTCGTTGTCTTCGTTACGTATTGTGTCGCAAATATAGCGAGAATTGAGCAAATAGGAAAGTGTCGCTATTCATTAAGATATAGTCTTCATCCTCGTTCTCGACCATCAACAACTGAATTAATCCTTACATTATGGATGTTTACATTATTTTGTGAAGAAATTCGACAAGTAAAAAGAAGAATATTTTTTTTTTCTTAAATGTTTTAATTATTCTCTAATAAGATGATGTCAATAGAATTAAAAACAGTAAATGGAAAGATATTGGGATATTTTTCAATATTTTGAAATAAATTAGATATATTATCTGTAATATTATTTTTTCTTGCACTTTTTCTTCGATACATTCAATCAAGTGATTGTTTTTGTGGTGCACGAATTATTTTAGCTATTGATTTATCTATTTGGTTTATAAGAACACTTGATATGTTTTCTGCTATAAAAAGACTCGGACCAAAACTTGTTATGATTGGTGAAATGGTAAATAAAATAGATTTTTGTTATTTATTTTGATTAAATTATTCTATATTATGAAAATAAGGTTCATGATCTGAAATTTTTTATGTTAATGTTAACTGTATTTATATTCGCATTTGGTGTTCCTGCTTATAGTTTAATCTATGGTGTAGAAGAATTTTCTTGGCATTTACCACGCAGTATATTAAATATTGCTTATTGGCAAATATTTGGTGAATTGGAAATATTGGACGAAATAGAGAGTAACGAAGATTAAAAGATTGGTAATGAATAGATCATTTTTCTTTTTTAGAAAATCATCCATATGGAACTGTGTGTGTAATTGGATTAACATAAAATGCAAAAATGAGTTTGATTATTTTTGATAAGACTTTCTTTGAGTAGAATTGATTTAATTGTTTTTTTTTACATTGTTTGTATGAAAATGTTTAGTAATACATTTAATCGTCTACAAGTAGATATAGATTGTATATGGAAATTTCAACATTATTCATTAGTATGTTATCATTTAACACGTCCATGTCTTCCACCACCATTTATATTCATAACGCATATTTGGCGAGGAACACTTTACTTTTTTTCACATTACGTTCAATCAAAATGGTTTAAATTAAGATATATTAAATATAAAAATAAAGAAAAATTTAGTAAGAACGAAAAGAAAAACAGATTAAATTAATAAAATGATTTTATATATATTTTATTTTTGATAGGTATAGTGATTGATATAAGATTAATAAGAAATATTGAAGCTATTGAAGATGCATTGGGAAATGAAGTTTACTATTTTGTTTCTAAAGTTGATCGAAAACAATCTGATCATCAAATGGATTTTGATGAAGAAAAAATGTTAAATATAATTTCAAAAAAAGAACTCTCTAATTGATTTATTCTGTTTTTTTTAGCTCTTCTCCACAAGAAATTGTATTGAATAAGATAAAAACACTTGAATATCAAGTTCGAACAATAGAGAATCACGTAATCTATTCTCAATAAGTGATCTATTAAAATAGTTTCAATGAAAATTTTTCTAGCAAGATGACATGTTTGAATATTTGGAATGTTTAATGAATGGAATTAGAAAAATTGGTGGTGATGATATTGAAATGCCGAAACGATCTCGTCGAGATTCAGAATTGTTTTGTATGTTAATTGAACTTTGTCTTATTATCATAGAATTCTATTCTATAGAAGAATTTTGAGAGACTTGTCTTTCTCGGACCCTATTTTTCGAGATGATCAGATCAGTTGAAGTTTTTTACCCCACTGTAATATATTTTCGATTTTCTATGGTCTGTACTCTAATTGGTTTAATCTTGACGAAACAAAGTGCATACATTTGAGCTCTTACAAACTCTCTATTGCTGAATAAATTTCACTGAAGTTTTTTCTTTGCTATTGATTACTGATAAATTTTCTTTCTCTGAAAATATTTTAGGACTTGGAATTTAGAATAACGTTTATTAATCATCAACTTTTAATTAGTATTGAATTAATGGAAGCCAACCAAACCAACACTTGATGTTTTTTTTTAACTGAAAATATTAAATAAATAATACTTTTAAATTTTTTTATATGTATGAAATAATCTATGAAAAATGTCTATTGATACTTTGTTATGCAGAAAAGTATCATCATCTAGTTTTTGTTTAACTTTCCGTTTTTTTTTAGATTTAGTATGTTTATAAATAAGAGATCTAAGTATTTTTCTGGGTGTGGATGTGAATATAAAGAACAGACCCACACCCACACCCACACTTCACACTCACACCCCACACCCTCACACCCACCCACATCCACACCCTCACAGTGTTTTTACTGGATAGCAAATTTGAACATCATACGGTATTGCAGTGAATAAGACAACGAAAGCTATTGACTCAAATCAAATATTTGTCTTTCATTCACTCTCGTTCATTAAAAATACTAAGTAACTGACTCTGTCTTCTGCCATTTCTGTTTTCTCCTACTTCCAACCGTTTGTTAATATAAGAATAAACAAAATTTTCAAGTATGGTGCAATTGTTTTGCAAGCCAAGAAAAAAACAGAAGAAAACAGCGAATGAATCTTTTCATGCTGCAAATTAATGCAGTCAGTCATTTTTTTTACTCTTTCATAGTGTTGTAATAACATCTTGGCAGATGATAAACAACAATTGTGAGTAGCTTTTTTAAGTTATACAATATATTCTAGCTTATCAGTAAGTGCTCAATATTTTATGAAAGTCGTCAGGCATAAAAAAATTTGAAACAATCGAATATCATAGTTCATAGTCAATATAAAACTTCTATAAGTAACTTAAACTGTCTTGCAGAATAACTTAGAAATCGAACACAATACATCAATAAGATTTCTATTTGCGCAGTATGGCTATCACTGTAAACCGAAACGACTTCAGAAGGCACCATAAATACTAATGCCAATCTTCAGTTTCCAGCGAATACTGAATTTATGAAGTTCGTACTACAGAGAATCGAATACGTACATTTTAACCCTTTGAAGACCGAATTTTTTAATCGAAAAAAAAAACATTTTTCAACCTTTTTATTTTATTTTAACTAACAATGGCTACATAAAAATATAGTAATAAAAAAAAACAATATTTTTCATCTTTTAAACAAAATGGCAATTTCCAACCAAAGCACTCGATGTTCGATCGCAAATCTGCTTCCTCAGTGCTAAAATAAACATAACTTCTTCTTTTTCCTTTCATAGGCAAATGCATTTCATTGTCAAAATTAATTGTAACACGGTATGAAATGAAATAAAGAGTACAAGTTCGAAAGAGAAATGATATACTTTGCAAATTCAAGAACAATGTAAATTCGTCGATGAGAACGGGAGTATATATACCCAATATAGAATGAAAATATTCTTGAAAAACAAAAGATCAAAGGAGAAGAGAGAATTTATGATGTCATTGTAGCTTAGCAGCAAGAATAGAGGACATCTTTAAAAAAAGTTATATGAGAGAAGGAAAAAAAGAAAAGAAAAATACGAGATGATAAATGTAGTTGTTTATGACCATAATGACCTTACATATTTAATGGTTTTATGTGCAATAAACACTTTTTCTGTACTGAAAAAATAGATGCTTCAAAAATGAGCCACCGTTCCTCAAAGGGTAAACATGGTACCGATTAGAAAACTCACCGAATTCTGTAAAATATTATGGAAAAGCACTATTTTAAAATATATCTGAAGACAACACTAAACAAACTTTTATTTGATAGACTCCTTGGATAGTTTCACATTCCGAATTTTCTTTTCTTCAAAAGGTGGGTGAAGTCTATCAATTCATCCAAGATTTATTTATTTGTTTCGATCCTTGGCTGAGTCCATAACCACAGAGTAATTTTGTATCCACGCACTCAAACAGATCTCCGTTCCGATACTCATTCTATTATCGATACTTAACACAGCCTCATGTCTTTTCTTAACCATGAAGCGTTCTGAAACTTGAACTATCATCGAATTATCGCGTCCCGACAGTCATCTTCATATCCATTCATCACAAACAAAGTATATAATTTTAGAGTAGATTTATGTGGAGCTCGACTTGAGCTTATTCAAGCAAGTTCACGAATTATACACCTCTTAATAGACACTTTCGAGTTCTACGAAGCACAACACTATATCTTTCTCATCGTATTCAGTGATAAAACCGTGAAGTGGCCCTAGCTACAGTTCCGACCACTATTCTCAATTTCATTATATTAATACCAATAAATATTTTCAGACCTATCTCGGACACCAAATTATTCGCCCAGAATCCTCACTCATCTCCACCGTCTACTCCGAATATCCGAGACCTTACTCAGCACCAACGCCATTCCGGTGCACACCCGACATCAAGAGCGATCACTCAGTCCACCATAGACCATCAAGATCCATCGCCCATATCGCGATTAATATAAAAATCTTCACCCAAATCAATACCCAATATGAAGATTCGTTTTGTCAAGACTCGCCCTTGCCCTCACACAACCTATTACTCGAGACCAAGCCAACTACTAACAACCATCATGCACACTCGATATAAACACCCATTTCACAGACCACTTCCTAGTATGAAGATTCATCACTTTCACCCACATAAGCATGAAGGGTGTCGGTATGGAACTTGATGTAGTTGAAGTGAATAGCCACACCCGCACTCACACCCACACACCCACAGCCGCACTCACACCCACATCCACCCACACCCTCTTTTGTTGCAGACATCTTTGTTTTCCTTTCCTCTTACCTTAATACCTGAAAAGTGTTTTCATATCTAGAAACAAAAACAAATTCATGACTAATTCGAGTCACTTGACTTATCGCATAGAAACAAAAAATAAAGCTCTTATTCTCCCGTTCTCTTGCCATACTCACTGTTGAAGCACTTTCTTCATCCATGATATGCGGAGATGAAAAAAACCCAGTGTATTTTTCTATATAAGAAGAGAAAAGCAAGACATTATTTTCTTCATTTACTGTAAGCAATTTCATTTTAGATACGAACGCAAAACCACGCGGTTCTAGAAGTCCGTATCACTGGTAGAGTGGGATCTATGAATCTCCCAAGATTCATTCCAAATGCATCTCATGCAAATGATGATAGAAGACAACAAACTTTCACTACTCGATCAAACTCGAACGGCATCACGTATACTACTTGATTCTAACGAATTGATCATATCAATAAAATGATTATTTTAGACATGTTGGAAATCGAGATTCAAGAGAACGAGCAGGTTCACTCTACCATCATTTCCATGGCAAACGGAATTCTACAACATTCGATACAACATCCGAGAGTTTGTAAGTTTTCATTTCAAATAAAATATTCATCAAATCGCTCTTCACTTTCTTATAGACCAATCAAACGACCACGTTTACCTCCTGTTTCGTATCCAACTCTTATGAAATTACTCGATAAATCACCAGAGGAGATTCTCACTGGAATGCTTGATCCAAATTTTCAATTAAACAAATTTTTAAATGATAAACGTATGCAAGAACGAGACGATTGGGTTTCTTCAATGACAATATTACTTGAAAAGATGACACAATGTACTGAATCACGTGAACGTATCACAATGATCTTGGAACAATTACCTAACACACTTTATCTTGAAGGTGTTTATAATAAAATTCGAAAACTTGATCCTACTACCAATCAATTCAATTTCAAATTAATTGAATTATTTCTCAAAATCTCGAATACATTACTTGCGATGATACCTCATTCAGCTGATGGTTTTACTAAAATTTTTGATCGGATTGAACTACAATTTACTAAAAATAAATTTGAATCACGTGTATGAATTATATCTTCAATCATTTCTTTTCTTTATAGTTTTTTGTTTTGTAGGAATTCGAAGATGCAAAAGAAATCCTTGATCAAGTACTTGAACGAGTTAAAGATATTGAAAAAGTATACACCACGAATAAAATTACAACTATGCAAAATGATATTGGTCAACCACCCAATGATTATCGTCAATTACACATTGTTCCCGATCTAATGGAACTTTTATCTGAACAACGACAATATCTTCGAAAGAATATTGTTGATGGCGTTTATGAAAATGCTGAGCAATATCTTGATGTAAGATTCAATGGTTTCTTTTCTATTTAAATTCAATCTATATATATTTCTTCAGATTCATTTCCGTCTTTTGCGTGAAGATTTTATTGGTCCATTACGTGATGGTATTCAACAACATTTATTCAAAGTAAAAAGCAAAAATTATAATGTACGAATCTATGAAAATGTTCAATCACTTGGCTCACGATTAACTCCACGAAACGGAATTGTTTATGATTTACGGTTAGATGCAAAACTAGCATCGAGAATTCGCTGGGCTAATAGTCGACGTTTAATCTATGGAAATTTATTACTTCTTACATTTGATAATTTTCACTCATGTGTATTTGTTACTGTTGAAGATCGTTCACAACTCGAAAGAAATTATACTATCTCAGTAAATTCTATTATTTATTTAATCTATCTTTTTTCTTTCTTATTAGGTCAAAACATTAGAAGACTTTGATAATTCAAAAGAAAATCAAATTAATCTTGATAAAATTGCTGCATCATGTCCTTTAACAATGATTGAAACAATGACATATTTCGAAGCATATCGTCCAGTTCTAAATGCATTACAAATGATACCTTCTGATCATCAATTTCCTCTTGCTCCATTTCTTCTGAAATTATCGAATGTAATGATCCCACCAGATTATATTAAGCCAACAACAACATATGATTTTACACCACTTCTTGTTGATCCAAATCTTCCAATAAATTATAAACAAACACATCAAGTGGAGAAAAAATATAGAACAGTTCCAGTACTTGAAAAAGATCAATGGCCAACAAGTGAACAATTACATCTTAATCCAAAACAATACGAAGCTTTGATTCTAGCTTTAACTAATAAAGTTGCATTGATACAAGGACGTGAGTGAAATGAAAAGGTTGTTTGAAGAAGTAAATGTTTCTTTTTTCGATTAGCACCGGGCACCGGAAAAACATATCTTGGTGTGCGAATAACAGAAATGCTCTTACATAATCGATCAGTTTGGCGTCGATTTGATGAACAATCCACGCCCATTCTGATGATCTGTCATACCAATCATGCACTTGATCAATTTTTAGAATTAATTGTCAATCGATTAAACATATCGCATGGTTGAAATACTGGTCTTATTTAATCAAATTTATGATTTATATTTTTTATTTTATAGGTATTATTCGTGTTGGAAGTCGATGTCAAAATTCAAGCATTCAACAATTTTCATTGAAAAACGCACGGCAACGCGCTCGAGAGAATCGGTCTCTACCTAAGGATATCCTTCATCAAAAATGGGATAAGTTAGCTGAAAAAGTAGCGATTGAAGAAGTTTTAAAATCCAAACAAAATGAAATGGAAAAATCACGAAATACTATACTATCTCTTTCATTCTTTACTCAGTATCCTATTATTGATCAAACACATCTTTCATCATTATTAGCAGCATATGATGGCGATACGGGTGACATAGCACTATTACAATGGCTTGGTTTTTATTCTGACTTCGAACGAATACCTGATCATTTTATTCATCGAGAAAGAGATGTTTTACCAATGGAAACAAATGATACTATGAAAGAAATGCAGGAAGATGAATTTAATGAAGAAGACGAAGAAGAAGAACGACGTAGACATGATGATGATATTGATCTAGAAGAATATGCGCCAACTCCAGGAAATCTCATGGATAGAAGAGTATCATCAACAGTTGAGATTAATAGTGGAAGAGAAAGACAAACTGTACAAAATCAAGAGAATCATTATCATCGATTCATCCGATATATCACTGAGAGTCCTACTACGCTCAATGATGAAACAGTAAAACGAATAAATGGTAATATTTGGCAACTCCATATGGAAGAACGTTATGATTTATATCGATATTGGCTTTTGAAATATCGACAATATTTACAGAATTCTCTTGATAATCAAAGTCGAGAATATAATCAGACTGTATCAACTCTTACTGAATATCGTCAAGAAGAAGATTATCATCTTTTAAAAAATAGTATTATCGTTGCTATGACAACTACATGTGCTGCGAAGTATCACAACGTTTTAGAAAAACTTCGTATGAATATTTTCAACTTCATTTCAAATAATCATTTCTTTCTCTAGGAAGTAAAATTGTTATTGTTGAAGAAGCAGCTGCCACATTTGAAGCACATATCATCACTGCCTTAAGTACCAAATGTGAACATTTAATATTAATTGGTGATCATGTACAATTAAAACCTAATCCAAGTGTCTATCGTCTGGCAGTGAAATATCAAATTGATGTATCATTATTCGAACGGTTGATTAAGAATAAATTTCCAAATGTTCAATTAAATATTCAGGTAAAATTCTAATAGGTTTTTTTAAATCGCGAAAGTTTTTATTTCAGCATCGAATGCGACCGGAAATTGCTCGTTTGATGAAATATTTTTATGATGACTTAGAAGATCATGTCAATGTGGAAAGCGAACGAGCACCAGTACGTGGTATTGATAGTAATTTATTCTTTATCAATCATAATCATATGGAAGCTAATGTTGATGACGGACGTTCATACCGAAATGAATTCGAAGCGAAATATGTTATTGAATTAGCACAATATTTAATCAAGCAAGGTTATAATCCTCAACAAATCACTGTACTGACTATGTATCTCGGTCAAAGACAATTCATTGCAAAACTAGCGAAACAAAGAGCACTTTTATATGGCGTTCGAATTATGGTATTATTGATTGATATTGCCTTTTTGAATGACATGAAAATTTCTATTGTAGATAACAGATAATTATCAAGGCGAAGAAAATGATATTATTATATTATCATTAGTGCGTAATAATCCAGAGAAAAACATTGGTTTTCTGAAAACACATAATCGAATCTGTGTCGCTTTATCTCGTGCACGTTGTGGTCTGTTTGTCATTGGAAATATGACCTTATTAGCCGAAGTTGATGATATGTGGAAGCAAATCGTTGCATCTGTATCGAAAACAAATAATCTTGGAAATGGTTAGTAAATCACTGAAATAAAATCATTCATTCGATTGCCTTTGCTTAGGTTTATCTCTTTCTTGTCGTCAACATTGGAGAAATAAATTCATCGCTGATAAACCTGAATCATTTGCACAACGTCCAGAAGGTGGCTGTAGACAAACATGTGATGCTCGACTTCCATGTGGTCATCGTTGTGAACGAATGTGTCATAATTATGATTTCGAGTAATGATCAATTCTTCAAAGAAATGATTTTTTTGAGAATGTTTTGCTTTTCAGACATAAGGATGTAGTTTGTCATAAACAATGTCCTGAACGATTATCATGTGGTCATCCGTGTAAAAAACGATGTCATATCGAAACGCCAAATCGACATAATCAATGCAGTGTTTTCGTCGACAAAAAAATTCCAGAATGTGGCCATAAAATTCGTATTGAATGTTATCGAACCCCGACTACCAGCGATTGTAAGAAATCACCATTACGTCGATTAGATTGTGGTCATGATGCTGAAGTTCCATGTCGAATTATTTCATCCCCATCGCAATTAAAACGATTTTTTTGTCCAGAACTATGTGGAAAAATGCTTGCTTGTGAACATAAATGTATTGGAAAATGTGGAAATTGTCGTGCGGGGAAATTACATATGGCATGCGGTGAAAAATGTGAGCGTCAATTGATCTGTTCACATGTAAGTTTATTGGATAAGAAGAGATTATTTCTTTTCGCATTTTATATAGGCTTGTAAAGCGCCTTGTGCAATGAATTGTCCACCATGTTCCCGTCTGTGTGAAACACGCTGTGCACATTCTCGATGTAAGAGAAAATGTAGAGACATATGTAAACCATGTAAAGAGGTTGGAGATAGAATGATTTCTTGTTTCTAGTAGACTAAATGTTTTCAATTTAGCCATGTGCTTATATATGTAAACATCTGCGATGTACTTGTTTGTGTTCAGAACCATGCGATCGTGGCCCATGTAATGAACCATGTCATCAAACACTGCCATGTGGTCATACTTGTACAATTTCCGAATAACTTACCTTCTGCTAGATAATAAATACTTTCTTTTTTCTCAATAGGTATTGGTATATGTGGTGAACTATGTCCTCCACAATGTCGTTGTTGTGATAAATCGAGGGTGCAAGAGATACTCTTTGGTACTGAAGAGGAACCGGATGCACGGTTTGTTTTCCTACCTGATTGTGGACATATAAGTATGTAGATTGATTTATTCTGATAAAAAAAGTTTTTTCATACTAGTTGAGGTAACTTCACTCGATCAATGGATCAAGGATTTTGAGAATAATCCTAACAATAAAACAGCGATTCGTTTTCCTGAATGTCCACGTTGTCGACAAAGAATTTATCAGTGTACACGATATATGTCCATTTTAAATCGAGTACATGAATCTATATCCCAAGTGAAAAGGAAAATCTTGGGGAATAAATCTCAAGAAGAAATGGACAATCGAAGAACACAATTAATTGCAGAATATGAAAAGATAAAGAGGAATTTACAAAAAATTAATCTTGTTCAATCCATCAAAGATTTGTTTTCAGAATTATATAAAGAAAATCGATTCTTTTCTGATGATATGTTCAATTTGATGACGAATATTCTTACATTTCTTAATGAAATTGATGCAGTTTTAATTGACGGACGGAAAAAATTAAAAGAAAGTATGTTTGAAGATTTAGTTAATGATCCACTGCGACATATTATGAAATATTTATCTGAACCACGACGGAATCGAAATTTTGCTGAACAACAATTAAACGATATTCAATCTGAATTCAAACGTATTCGTCGAGTCATTCATATTGAAGGTCTTGTTTCTACATTAAAACAAACTTTGAAAGAAGATGAAAAAGAATGTATAGATTCGATGCAACATTTGACAAAAAAATCTGGTCCATTTACGGATGAAGATCGACAAAAATTTGATGATTTAGTTAGAAAATTTGAACAGATACATCATTTACCTGGCTTAGGAATAACCGATAGTGAACGAATTAACATTGTTCGTGCATTGAACATATCAAAAGGACATTGGTTTATTTGTCCAAATGGTCATCCTTATGTTATTACTGAAGTAGGAATTTTCTTTTTTGATCAATGATGATTTTTTTTATCTTTGATTTAGTGTGGTGGTGCGAGCCAAGAAAGTCAATGTCCTGATTGCGGAGAACAAATTGGTGGGCAAAACCATCATTTATTAGAAAGCAATCATCATTTTGGTTTAATGGATGGTTCACAACATGCAGCTTGGTCAAACGAAGCAAATTTAAATTGACGCCACTTACCTATTTGATTTAATTTCTTTATTTAATTAGTTCGGCAGGATTATTTTTTCAAATAAACAAGATTATGATTTGAATATACATGTATCAGAGTGTGAGTGTGATTAAAGTGATCCGTACACCCACACCCTACTAGCTCACCTCCCAGCTCATACGAGAAGCTGGTACCTTTTCTTTACTATTGTAAGGATAAAACATGGTGTTGTTCAAGCCAATCCAGGGTTATCTAGTATCCGCTCTCATATGACTCGGACAATAGTAGGTTTTATTCTTATAATAGGACTCTATCAAAATGTACCCTCCGGCCAGACTGGCCACCCCCATATATATATAAAGTGTGTCCATTTTGACTTCTTTTTATTTCTCGAATATTCAAAGTTTGATGGACATTGAAGACAAGTATTTAGGAGTAACAACTAATTTATCATCCAAAATTTATTGCATTCGATTGATATAATTAGTAGGAAAGTGCACTATTGAAAAGAAATATATATTAAATACTAAAATAATTTTATCAGATATGTTCTTTTTACTCTTTTTCATTATTTGTTGTTGAATGTATGAAAAACAACGTCCAAACCTAGTTCAACATTAAATACATCTAATAAAATTATATTTTAAAATCTAATATATGTTATTCTTTAAATACATATCCTTAATCTCTATCTGACTTTGAATATTGGGAAAAAAACAAAAAATTAAAATAGACTGGAAGTTTATGAAACACTTTTTGTATATAATCGATATTATTAATATCTAACTAATGATAATCGCACCTTTCTAATCTATGCTGACATAAAAAGAAAAAAATATTGACAAGTTTACTTTCCTCTAAATAATCGAAGGACAAAAGACTAACATCATTGATCATCCTTAATCGTATCAAGTATAACTGGTCTGCCTACGCCACATCAGAGAATCTTAATGGAGACAGTAAAAAAAGTAAAGACTGATCTATATCTTCCCACTTGTCTGGTGGTATCGATCCATCGACTATATTCTCTCTTAATTGATTATACAAAGGACAAATACAATAAGTTGTTAAAAACTATGTTATGCTATGCATTAACAGAAATAAGAAATCTTTAAAGAAAGAATTGGTCACTACTATGAGAGAAAAAGAAAAACGACCCTACTATTCAAAAAATAAGCGACTAAGTGAACAGTCTATCAAGATGAGCAAAAAAAGTTAACAAAAATAAATAGAAAAAAAAAGAACTAATAAGAACTGAAGAGAAAATATAGATTTCATCGTGTTTATAAATGGTTAGGTCATTAAAAATACTTTTTATGAATTGGAAACATTTTCTTAGGATGACAATGTGACTATATCGAAATTGTACAAGACCGAGTTATTCGATGTGCTAAATTATTCTACAGAAATTACGGCTAAAGACAACTAAAATCATGTCATCAACTGAAGTCAGGCAAATAAGACTTGTAGAAAGGCGTTTGTTTTATGTCAATGCATTGAAGAAAAGAAATCGTAAAATAATAAACCTTTAAAGGGTTTACGAAAGTGTAACGAATAATAAATCCTTTTTTTACCGTTTAAGAAAACTTTCTAAATCCTTTTAAAAACTCTTTTCAAAGCGTTGATGAAAAGGTTTATGAAATTCATAAACGAAAAAACAAGGGATTATTATACGTTGTACTTTTATTCACTCTCAAGAAGTGTTTATGACATTTATAAATGCTTGTAGATAACCTTAACAATGTTTATCAATGGGTAGACAGAAAAACTTAATAATATCAATAATGGTACTAAGGATTTATCAAAGAGTATATGAAATTTATACAATCCATAAAACAGACGACACAATTTATCAAATAGTTTATAACTAATTAAAACACTAAAGAATTGACCAGAGATCTAGATTTTGTCTAAAATCCATTGAAAACACATATCTAACAACATAGCGCTTGAACATCTGTTCAAAAGCACTAGTAGAATATTTAAGATGTAAAAACTTCACTACACTAATCGTCTAATTGTTTCTAACTGACAAACTGCTAACTAGCTAATTAGAATGAATAGATAAAATGAATGAGAAAGAGTAAAAGACCTAAATAGACACTCAATAATTTTATTCTATTGATATCAATAGAAAATGATAACTATTACAAGAAATAGATGAAGATGAATGATGAAGAATAAAAGGTTTAAACTGAAACTGAACATTTTGATTCTTCAAAAGATGTTTCGTATTTATATGAACTTTCTAAATTTTATGATTCTAATAGATTACATCAATGAAAATACAATATTTATTTAACATCAAAACGATTTAAACAAAAAAAGAAATTGTTTCACAGTTCAAACGTATATGTATTCATCAAATAGGTATAAATCAGTGTTCTTTACAATTCCGGTACTACTTGATTAACAATCATTCTTGGTTGTTGCCATTTTTCGAAGTAAATCGTGAATAGCACATGAATCAATTGTCGACGAAATCGTTCGGATGCACAAACATAGATAAAAAATGGACTCTAGAAAAATGTATAGAAATATTTTTTTTTCAAACACAATGATGATTTGTAATGTTAGTTGATCGATTAATATCTTACCCCAAAATTAGTATAATATAATAAGGTAGTTATAGTAGCAGTAAATTGTATTCTTATTGCAATAACAGGATCATTCATCAGATTCGTGTTCAGTGTAAGAGCCACTAGAATGGCGTATGGCAAAATAGTAAAAGCATTGACAATAACTTGTGCAAGGACCATTACTGTCAATTGTTTGTCGAGTTCACGTCGAACAAGAGGCAATGTTCGATAAGCCAGTCGTCGCACATTATAATACGCCAAGGATCCAAATAAAATTGTAATAACAATAGGAAGAACACCTGTAAGGACAAGAGTAACAAAATAAGAACGATATTGTATAAAGATATTGTTTGTAGATGTACAAATGATTTTCCCTGTAGTAGGCGAAATATTTTGATTAAAAAAGATCAAATATGGAATTCCATGTAGAATCCAAATGATACTAAATATTGTTGTTAGACGATAGGCAACTTGAATATTACTCCATTGTTGCCAATGAGGACGAAAACAAGTTGCAAAGTATTGATCAATTGTTGCCAAGGTAATACATGTAAATGAGATTAATGCAGCTATTGGAAAAAGAAAATATCTTAATTTACAGAAGATTAATGAAGTTTGTGTCCAATCAATACCAAAGCCGGTGATCATTATACGAGCTAAGAGACCCGTTATTAACTGAACAATATTGACAATTGACATGATTGTTAAATAGAATGCACATGAACTTTGTCGAAACGTTCGAAGACTTAGAAATACAATAATATTGAGAACTCCTCCAAGTATACCAACAATGAGTAGAGGAATACCAAAATAAATGCATATTTCTTGCGCGATAAATGCAAGAGATTCAGCCAATGATGTTGACATTTTGATTTGATGATTTTAGATTTGATATATAATTCTATCTACAATATTCATTCTTATTCATACAATATAATTTCTGCATAGGTCTTGTAACAATGAGACAAGAACGATGTTCAACTCAAAGGATGAAACATGCATTAAAGGTGTTTTTTTGAATGGATTTCAGGTCTTCAACTATCTTGTATTGTTAAGTTCAAAGTTTTTCTCAGTCAACTCCTGTAGACTATGAAAAAAGCTACGATATGCTAAGAGCTTATTCAAAATAAAAGAAAAATGAACGAGAGTCCGAGAATAATTACTTATAAGCAAATGTTTCTCACTTGTCGATATATCAATTAGACCGAAATACTTATGCGCACAAATTGTCTCGACTCTTTTTCATAGGTTTTTATTCGAAAAAAAACCTGCCTGTTGGAAAAGAATGAGGTCAAAAAAAAGTGAAAAATTACTGAGACGATTCCGAAGCAAAGAAGAAAAAAACCCCATCACTAATACGAGTTTCACAGTGAAGCATCAATAAACAGATTAGAACACATCAATATTAGAAAACAGATTCTCTTGACAAGGCTAATAGAAAAACGAAAACTTATTTCGTTTTGAACTATGATTGAAATATAAAAGAGATAATTAGACTATCGATGATTTTCGACTAATTCATTCAGTAGGATGTGGTTTCGTTCTTTCAAAGAATCTCTTGAAACACAAAAAAATTAACGAAAGAAATAAATTAGAGAGTTTACAAATAACAAAAACCAAAAGTAAACAACTTTTTCGTTCTGTTTTTTTTTACAAACATTCCAATGTAGACGATTCATTTTTTCTCATCATTGTATTTAAAATGTTTATAAAGAGCAGAACAGAAAAATTGTTTACATTTGCTATTTATTATTTATAAACTCTCTGATGTACTTCTTTCGTTCATTTTTGTATCTGACGATATACGTTGAACGAACGAAATAATATACTACTGAATAACTCAGTCGAAATGATACATATTGTTTATCAATACTATCAAATGATATTCATACTGTGATTGATAGAGAGACTTTTATCTGATGCTTTGTATAACCTGAGCTAAAATTCGCTGTCGAGAGTCGATATATGGCGAACGAAATTCGAAACAATCTTGTAAAGCTCTACTTGAAGTGAAATATAAAGTTCATATCTACTCATGAACGAACTTTGTTCAGCTATACAGCTCATTTTTTTTGAAATTACTGCTTCTAAATTTGTTTTATCTCTTTGTGTAAACGAATCGTACTGTTTATCATAAGTGACGGAGTCATGAGGCCTGGATAAACTCGAACCTACCCTAGATTGAGTTCAGTAAGGTTTGAACAGGTCAATATCTGGTCATGTTTTTGAAAAAAAAAGGGATCTCAAGGGACATGCCAGTAGGCCACAAAAACAGATTTTTTTTGCAATAAAGAGGCTAGAAAACTGTCTGCTTTCGGTAGCAGACACACGACTGTAAGATTATTTTCATAAATAAGACTCCAAAATCGTTCGTAGAAAAACTATTCTCGATTTCTAGAGGTTTTGATATTCGCAAAATTCGTTTCTCACATTGCCATTATTGTTCAAATGATTCTACAATGTATATAATGGGGGAAAAAATAAACTAAATCTAAATGAAGACGGCTTTAATCGATATCCTAAAAAAAAATTTGCATCCATTTCTGTACAAGAACACAAATCTTTCAAATAAAAATCCATTGTTTCTTCATTTTTAAAGCAAACGAGTGCAACGACATTAGAATCTTATTGACATTCATCTCATAGTTACTGTAGTTTCGTTGTTATACCTGTTTTATTTCTATTCTTCTGCAAACATCTTTCTTTTCGTTGAAGGAATAATTTACGGATTGAGTGTTTTGGAAGAGATAATAAACAGTATGGATATTCAGAGATGCAACAAAACAACGTTTAAATGGTTTATGAAAAATTTACTTTTAACACATTTTCCACGTCTAAACATTAGATGTCATTGAAATTTTAACTGTTTTAACGCATTTTTTTCGACTAATGGCATTGTTTAAGTCGTTTGAATAATTTCATTAGAATGTCTCTTCTAAATGATCAACAAATGTTTCATCTAAACGATGGCATGGCGTAACGGTTAGTAAATAATTAAATTCATATCAAACTAACATTTTTATTTCTTATTTGAAAACAATCTAGGGAGTTTCTCTTTCATCAGCTTGTTTCCTTTTATATTAAGATTAAGTTTACATTTTTACTATTTATTTACTTGTCAGTTTTTATTGTTTCTAATAGCGGATCAGAAGATAAAAGTACGTAGGTTTGATCAATCAACATTAATGTCTTGTCATTGCGTGTTACTATTAGAAAAAAATAGAAAAGAAAATGATACGGAAATAAAGAGTAAAATGTAAACTCAAGGAAACAAACTAATGAAAGAGAAATTCCCTAGGCTATCTTTAAAGAATAAATAAATGCTAGTTTAACATGAATTTAATTATTTACACTCATATTTCATACTTCAAATAAATAACGACTGGAACAGATAGGTGAATAGATTTTAAATACTATGGTTAACGCAGGAATTGGTGAGGAAACATGGCAAACTACGACTTATTTAACCAGTTTCTAATATTTAGAAAACTACAATCGGAACCAATTACTATGGTAGACAAATGTTCTTTTCGATGTTCAGTGGTAAATCTAACTTTATTCAGATCAAATTTCAAAGTATCGAAGTGTAAAGATGTGATCAAACTAGAAACAACATTGATGTACTAGAAAGTCGCATAATTGCAATATGTTCTAAGTAGATTCCAAAACTGACTAAACTACATCAATGCACGACAATCACTATCTGTTTTTTTTTCTAGAGTAAGGATATTTCTTTTAAAACTTGTTCATCTGTCGATGACTTTGGACTTCTGTTCCATCTAGTAGAAAAGTCAGCTGCTTCAACACCTCATTTAACATGCATACTTGTAATGAGTTTTCTATATCAAATATTCTAACTGAAGAACAATTAATGATGTTCTGCTATTCTAATCATTAACAAGCACCTCTTTGATTTTATTTTTATCTGTATCGTATATATCATGTCCACACTAACTTAGCGAATATCAAATTATTTTTGTATAGAAACTCGCGATTGTTAACATCGTAATAAGTGTTCCATTTTTTCTCTTATTTTGAATGCTTTTTCGCAGAAAAGTTCTTCATCTAATTCGGACATCTTCAAGCTTACACAAGAATGATGGGACATTGTACATAGTGAATATAATATTAATTCTTAGTATAAGTTAGAAGTTAAGTAATCTGCTCAGTTAGATACGTACTCTGTGAACGAGATAGAACGCAAATGAATTCAAGATGAAGAAAGAACAAGCGAATAATATGAGAGAGTAACAAAACAATAACATTTTTTTCTTTTCCTCCGTATACTAGACGACAAAAAGAGAACAAAGCGAAAAAAAATTAATTGAAATGTGGACGGATGAAGAACTATGTTCCTACTTGGCACAAAAAAAATAGATAAAATATGAAATGGCTCTATAATTATTGAAACTTTTAATGAAACAGCTAAATTGTAACTTATTTTATAATTACAAGCTATACGAAAAAAGATTAACTTCTTCATCTTGGTTTATTATACCTGTCACTTATGCATACTTTTAATTTCAAAAGAGAGAAATAAAAAACATTATTATTATCATATAGCCAGGGGTTGCTCGAGGCAGCAAACATTGGACGGTTGTCCCTGACTTTTGAGATGGAAATATAATTTTTTTTCTAATAGAACGCAAGAAAAATTTTCGATTCCGCTGGGGAAAAACGAAAATTTCGATTATTGGGGGGTTGTCACAACCTCCAGTCGGGCCACCCCTGCATATAGCTCATGGAGAAAGGAATGGTGTATACAGTGAATATGATATATTCGTATATAGTAATATTAGTGATAATTTTCTTGTATCATTCAGTTTTTGAACATTAATAATGACCGTCTACTCTTTATTATAATTCATTAAATACAATCAAGATAGAGTTAATCTTCGTTAATATGCATTAAAATAAACCACTCTGAGTAAGATGATGTTTTAATATTCATTGAACAAGTGAATATAATATTAACTATCGATACTCTAATTATTAAAGATATTCAATATGGGATGTATTGTAACTCTATTTTTGTTCAACAAATCAGTTCATGATAGTGACACTAGCAAATCGAAGATAAATTTCTTTTTGGTTCCCATCAAACATTAATACCGAACAAGTTTTCTCTTGTCGAATACCAGTAACACTGAGTTATTGTTGAAAAGATACACTGCAAATAATTCATCAAGAAAATACATGAAAACCCACTACAAGGAGTATTTTCAGTGAGATCGTTATACTGCTACTTTAATTTCGACTTATTAGTAATAAAAAAAAATCTTCTTCGTTTAAAATTACTACTCACTAATGATGAATATCGAATTTGGTCTCTTGCTGTTCATTAGTAACAGATACAGGTTCTAATCACCAGTTACCTGTTACTAATAAGCATCAAATGATAATACTCACTATTTGCTGGAAAGTAACCAAACGAATTACTCATAATTTAATGTTACGTAATTTAGATGTATTTGAACACGTATATGTACTACAGAATAGTTAAGTTAATCATTTACCACTCATCTGTAACAGATGAGTACTGCCAACTACCACCGACTAACAATTAGTAAATAAATGTACGCACTACACACTCAGAACATAATAATAATAATATGATTTTTGTAGTTTTAATTTTTCTTCTGATAATTGAATCAAAACGTAAAAAAATTGCGAAAACGTGTATAAAATGAGAATTTCACAAATATACACGCTTACATGATTGAAAAGGGTGTGGGTGTGGATGCGGATTTAGGAAAGACCAACATCCACACCCACACCCACATCCACCCGCACACCCACACCCACCCACACCCACACCCACACCCACCACACCCCACCCAAGTCAGAGGTTAAAATAGAATCAATCAAGAGAAGAATTTTTGATTGTACTTAATGATTCTTGATCACTGAGGATGTATGTGTGTGGGTGTAGGTGAGAGTTTTATCTATAATTGCATCAACAGTTATACTCATACTCGTCTCTTTTTTAATTACATGAGTATAAAACGTCGTTGTATCTTCCTTATTAAGAAACAATTAGACAGGATGTGGATGCGGTTCTGAGTGTCGGTATGTTTTTCTTCCTCTTACACCCATATTCACGCTCTCTCTTTTTTCTGATTTTAGTTATTATTTCTGATATTGAAGTTTTTGTTTGGATTTGGGACCACAGAACTCTGATGAATGTTTAAATATATCAATAAACACGAAATACGTCGGCAAACATATGAACTCTGCATTTTTTGTTTTACAATTTCATTTAAAGCATGCTATTTAATATTTTTATCATATTCAATTTTCGACTACGTCAAATGCTAAAAAACCAAAGTTTCATCAAACTCCACACAAAACTCAAATAAAAAAATTTTATCTTTGTTTTATTGACTTTTTGACCAATGTGAAGCTTCGACATGAAATCTGACATCTGATCTGGAATATTAACCATCGATAACCTATAGTGCAGCTTCGTTAAAGTTTCAAAAAATTCAAAAGAAAAAAGACCATCGATGATGTTTGTTTACTTTGACACATATAAACACAAAAGTGTTTTATTTCGTACGACTCTCCTTACAATCAAGGGAATAGGAACGATATTATTTCAATACCTTTTTGAAAATATTGCAATTTTGCTCTTTTTTAATTCTTCCTTTTAATTTTGTTCGCTTTCAAATTTTTACACTCGTCCTTAAATTTTCTATACGTAAATAGCAGACTCTGCTTTATTTCAATTGTTAAATTAAAAAAAGACCTTTTAAAAATGTGTTGCAATTTTTGTTCGGCATGATTTGCTTTTTTGCGTAATTTTTCTAATTTCCATTTTTTTGTCTTTTGTAGTTTAAACATGTTTAGTAATTCAAGATAAAACTATTCATAATATGAAATCTTACCTATTTACTACCTTATAGTAGCTGCAACATTTTAATTATAGCTCGGTCATCATGGCATACATAAGGAAGAAATGCATAGACATACTCATTAATCGTTTAGACATTTTCATATCGACCTTTGTATTTTCGATGCAATTCAATATAATCATGATATTTTGAAAAGGAAAAGATTAAAGACAAAGAAAACAAAAACAACCAACATTATTTCATTGTTTCTTTCTTCTATTAAGAATGTCATTGCCAGCATTAAGCGTCGTCGATTATATTTTGTTGGTGCTACTGTTACTTTCATCGGCAGCGATTGGCATTGTCTTTGGTTTTATTAAATCGAAGAAAAATTCAGCTAAAGAATTTCTTTTAGGTAAATCATCGACAAAGATATTTGGTTTTTACATTTAACTTTTTTTGCCTGTTTTTGGACTATTTCAGCTGATGGCGGGATGGGTGTTTTTCCTACTGCCATGAGTATCATGGTATCCTTTATTTCTGCCATTACTCTCTTGGGTACACCTAATGAGGTGTATTTAAATGGAACAATGTATTGTTATGCCGGTGAGTGTATCAGAATACAATTAATATTGAAAATATAATTGGTTTGAACATGCATGTTTAGCCATCTCCTGGACTATTGCATCAGTAGTCGCAGCCCTTGTGTTTATGCCTAAATTTCGTGCAATGGGCTTTACAAGTGCTTATAATGTAAGTCATATATTGGAATAGAAATACAGCAAACAATAGACAATAACTATTCAATATGAATAATAGTATTTAGAAGTTCGTTTTGATCGATCAGTACGAATGGCTGCTTCGTTGATGTTTTCTTTATACATGGTAATATCAGGTTCAATTTTTTGAATTCAAAGACATTTCGATCATTATCATTTTTATAGCTAATTTATATGGCACTTGTGTTATATGCTCCTGCATTAGCACTGAGTCAAAGTATATTATTCGATATATATCTTTTTTCTTATTTTAGCTGTTCTTTTTTTTTTGTTGGAAATTATCATTATAGCTACGGGACTAAATATTTGGCTTTCGGTCATTTCAATTGGTGTTATTTGCACATTTTATTCATCCATAGTAAGAATAAGAAAGGCCTCATTTGATAAAACGATTAATAAGCTAGAGTATTGAAGGATAATGTCTTTTGTACTATAACCATACCATATCAAAATTTGTTGCATCTCATACCCCGGCCTACCCTATAGTTTCGTATTTTAACCGTACCCTGTGCTGACCTAGATTCTGAAATGGCTAGGCCATAATTCAGTGTTCGATGAAGATGAGACTCTTTTATTGAATTGAATGGAATTTTTCTTTTCTTATATAATATACGATGACTATCTTGTGGACACTATTTTGGAATGATGATTTAGCCCTACTCGACAAAACTATTAAAATTTAGTTAATTTATCGATATATATATATTAGGTAAAACGTAAAAACATGGTACTATTATTTTCCCATCCATATCATTCTTTCCAACCAAGAAGCTCCAAAATTAAGTTCTGCTTAGTATTTCTCCATATGGGACAGATGTCACAAGAGTCTTGAAAATTATTTGATCAACAATCTTATTAATATGAAAAATACTTTGTATCTATTTTAACTATTTCTTCCACAATCTCTACCTTCCTCTTCCCTACGCCTCGAACAATCTAACCTTATTTTGCTCTATAGGGTGGTATGAAAGCAGTTATTTGGACAGATGTTCTGCAAGCGGTCATCATGTTTGTTGGTATGCTTGCTGCAATAATTCAAGGTGAGTGGAGACAAAGTTTGAGAGAAACTCTTAGATTATTAATGATGTATGTGCTGACTAGTCTTTTTTAATTGCATTGAATGGACCTCTTTCCTCAGAATCAACTTGGAACCTTGAATTATAGGTTTGGTATGAAACTTTCAAGGATGAGTGGTCCTGATGAGAAACTCTTGTAGTAAAAATTTCAGGCCTGTATACATTACTAAACTAGACTTCTAGTTTTAAATGAAAGGTAGCTTCCATAAGCAATTTTTCATCGAATTGAATTTTGAAATTCGCTTTTATTCATTTTTTACAAGCATTGTATTCAACATGGCTGTCAAATTAGGTATTAAAAATGCAGTAAATCGAACTTTTCTTAGTGTAGGAATTCAGTAGCAAAAATTCATCCGATGAGACTTTTAAAATAAAAAAGAAAACATCGCGCACATCTTGAAATAAGTAGAATTGATTTCAAATTTAATTTTTAAAAATCATAGTTTGAGAAAAACGCTAAAGAATTTTTTGGAACTTAGTTTTTTCATTTAAAACTTTAAAGCTTATTTTAAAATGGAACATGTCCAACGTTTTGCATTAGACCTTCGAACAGTATGTTACAAATGAAGTCAGTTAATGCCATCTACAACTATCGAGTGGTTCCTATAAAGTAATTTCATCTCATTTTTTGTAGGTTAAACTAACGAATCAGCTTGAAAATAATAGAGGTCTCGATTTTCTCAAAAACATATACGTATCCGAAAAGTATGTGTAAACTAAATCTGTCATATGGAGCGCAAACACCATGTAATCAACCATAATATTGAGTGTTATTAGACGCATCGTGTTTGCCGTAAGGGTAGTTCGTTAAAACCTACAGCATATGAATTGATAGACATAAAAAAAAATCATCGAAAATGCGAAAATACCTCGGAAAATCTGACAGTAATAGAGAAGATTCTTTTCTCAGTAAGTGTGTTAGAATTCAACCATTTCTCAGGAGACTATATGTGTTCTCGACGAGGAGAATGTGATGAATCTTTCTATGATAAAAAATCGAGTTGGAATTATTTTCGAAAACTCGGGTTTTCTGAAGGGTGTCTTGTTCGAAAAATAAGAATAGTAAAACAATTGATCACTGAATCTTACGTAATTATGAAAATCTGAAATCATTAATAAATATCTCTAAAAGCAATGGTTAACTGAATTCAAAACAATTGATAATTTTTATGAATAGGTTTAATTGTTCTTGGTGGTTTGAAACGAACATTTTCCTTAGCTTATCAAGGTGGTCGTATTGAATTAAATAAGTAGGCTTTTTTTTGTTCAAAATTCAAATACTTTTATAGAATTATAATATAGTGTAAGTTTGGATCCACGTACACGTCATACAGTTTGGTCGCTTCTTATTGGTAGTTCTTTTAATGCTTTGAACCTCTACGGTTTCAATCAAACACAAATACAACGATATATGTGTGTAAAATCAACACGAGCAGCTCAACATGCTCTATTCATTAATGCCGTTGGCGTAGCTTGTATTATTATACTTTCGGGAATAATGGGACTAGTTATCTATGCATATTATGTTGGTTGTGATCCATACATGGCCGGATATATAAATGATAGAGATCAAACATTTCCTTATTTCGTTATGGAAGTTTTAGGTAGTAAAAAAGGTTTACCTGGCATTTTTCTTGCATGTATTTTTTCTGGTTCATTATCAACAATTTCGTCTGGACTTAATAGTTTGACAGCAGTTCTCATTGAAGATATTTACAAGGGTTTATTACGACGACAAATGACTGATGAAAGACAAGGATTTATATCTAAAATTTTTTCAGTTATACTCGGTGCTGTTGTAATAGCACTTACGTACATAGTGAGTAATTTAGGTTCAATAATTAATGCAGCAATATCATTATCGGGTGTTCTTTCTGGTCCTATTATGGGTATATTCATGTTGGGCTTCTTTTTTCCAAGAGTGAATGCTCGTGATGCCTTGATTGGATTTTTATGTGGTATGGCAATGGTAATCTGGATATTTTTGGGTGCACAGTTTACTAAAAATCAAAGAAAAAGTTCTCAATTACCTCTTTTAACTGTCAATTGTGTCAATTTAACTATAGCAAATACTACGACAATTGAAACAACTATCGAGTAAGCCGAAAAAGTTAATGTCTAACTTAGACATTATCTGAAATATTGAAACAGTTTAGTAGGGTTGGATTGAAAATAGAAATCGTCAAAAAGAATTTCAGAGTTAGATGAGAGAAATGAACGAAATTGAATTCCAAAACCCAATTCTGACGCCAGTTCCAATGAAATTATAGTGACTGATAGGTACATTTTCAAAGTTAATAATTAAGTTACTTTGTTTTTTACAACAATGAAATAGTTCGAGTTTTATTTAGAAACAGATTTATGTATAAAATATTATATGACACTTAGCAATGATTATATCCATAATATTCTCTGAGTGTATTTCAAAATAAACTTTTTAAATTTTCGGGTTGCTTCTTTCTGTTAAAAACTTCTTAGTCAGAATTCTTGTGTTGTTTCTAAAAAATACATTAAAAAAAACAAATTGAATGAAAAGAAAAGCTGTTCGTTTATTATTGAATCACTTACTTCTTTTACTTTCTGATGAATATCAAGTATTCACATATATCATAAATAGTCTTTAGAATACAAACAATTTTTGGAATTATTTTAGAACGAATGAGAGTTAGAATTAAATAGTACGACTCCGATAACTACTATCGATTTAGTTACGGATATTAACATTGGACTTAATGCATATCTGAAAGCACACTGCGACTTCCAAGTTTGATCATTTTCGCATCGAGAAATCAAATTAGTTGCACTAAGAATATTTTAGAATAGAAGATTTTTCTGTGTGCGTCTATCTTTCTATAACACGGTTTAGACCAATCAGATGTTTGTATATGAAAAAATTGATTGTTCGAAATAATATCATGAACAAATCCGGAAGAACACAGATAAAGTCTCAAGGATTACGGATTCACTTCCAACTCGATAACGTGTAAATCGTCCAGGATTCAGTATGTATAGTAAGCGGTAACACTTATATGTGATCGTTTCGACTATTATTATAATGATTCCAATTACATTTGCACATTGCAACAATATGCGTGTGATATTGATGGTCAGTAGTATCGCATTTATGATCATTCATATCATTGTCTTCATTCCCCGTAGTATAGTTACCATCATTTATCGAATGTTTTCAGTCATTTCGAGTCAGTTTATCACATCATCTATTATGTCATTTCTACAATCGGTGACCATAAAGGTGCCACGATGGATCAAAATGTTGGTTATTTGTATCGTCGTGGTGGTCCTTTGGAGACAAACTATCATTCACCAATTATGTAGTTATGCTTTCCATCATCGATTTCTATGAATTTGATTATGTGAATAATTGCATTCCGAATGTTTGAGATTCCTCGATATCTACACTCTAAAAAAATAGATATTTTATCAAAACAACTGAAAATATTCGTAGAAGTTTGAAGAATCTAAAAATCGGGTTTTCCGATTTACGGAACCTTTAACGGTTCGACTCGCTTATCCAAGCGAAAAACTGTTAAAGGTTCCGTAAATCGGAAAACCCATTTTTTAACTTCTGTACAACTCGAGGAACATTTTCAAGTGATTCCGTGAAACATCTATTTTTTTAAAGTGTAGTTCACACTCACTCATAAGTAATTAGTCAAAAGAATGATTATGTAGCAGCTATCGAACTATGATCATAATCTTTTAAAGTTTTATTGCTAATCCTAATGGTAAAGTTAAACAGTAATATTTGAAAGACTATCACAAAACAGTAATAATAACGTTGCCATATCTTTCGGATATTGATGTAAACTATCATCATTAGATAATCTTCGTTGTTTTTTTTTTTCTTGAAGAAAAATCGAAACTAGTGGTTCTATAAGTTAACTACTTTCCAATTTTAACTATTTTTTTCTGAATTAACTTAGATAGTTTAGTTATAAATTGTTCAAGTGAACTTACTGTCGATTGATTTCACAGATGCGAACAACATTGAATGAATAGCCAAAAACAAAAAAAAACTTAAAGTTTGATTTTTTTTAATGATATTTATTAGGCGCAATCCTCTTCTTGACTTCTATTCGGTAAGTTATCTATGGTATACATTGATTGCTGTTATTACAGTGATAATCATCGGTCTTCTTGTTTCCTTTCTTACTCACCCGAACAAATCAAGTGAAGTAGATTCGAAATTGATCATTCAAATGTCTGATCTGTATTGTGATACTGAAGTAAATCAAAGATACAAGGTACAGTTTTAATTTTTATATCGAATATAATGTTTACTAAACTGTTGAAGAATAACAACGAGACCGAACTATCGACAATATCATACGAAAAAAATAAGCTGTCAACCGTAACCATTTCAACTAAAATGGATGTTGAAGAGACCAACAAATTTAATGGTAATCCAGAGATCAAGACTAATTGATTATACAACATCCAACGAACAATAATCATCAATTATTCGTATTTCTACAGAGTCCTTATACAATGTACGACAATAACAATTGATTCTTCTCAAGCTCTAAATTTCAATTGAGCTAACTTGAATGCTTTACCTAATTACCATGCTTTGATTGCACCGAGATCATAGTTATTTTTGAATATATTAGATAAAAAGTTCTTGCATCTTTTAATAAAATTTAGAATATTCAGATATGAACCATTGAGTTCACCAAGAAGTATCATTGCCTGAGAAGTAAATACAAGCAATGCTGAGTGTGAGCGTGAATGTGCGTGTGGAATAAATTGAAGACATGATCCACATTCACAGCATCAATAATTATAATCCTTTGGTGAAAATCTCAAAAATATCACAAACGCAGAAATTAATTTGATAGGTGAGTAGACATTTCAGTTACCTTTTATCAAAACTTGTCATTTGCTCTATGAAACATATCTGCGGATGAGACATCATCTCACTGCACTGAGAAACATTCTCAAACGTCTTTTGGCCGCTAAAAATCCAAACGGTTATGTAAAGTTCCTATCCGCGACTAGATAAGCAAACAACCAATTCAATCAACGCAAATTCCTCAGTATCTTCACAACTTTCTAAACAAGTTCATTAACTAGAATGTTCTGCCTAAAATCAAAACTACTCATGTTTCCACACGTAATACAGCCACCAGATGTTGTGCTCCTTTGTCTCCGATTTGATTCTAGGAGAGATAGAGTACGGTGTGTATCTGCATGAAAGGTGGAAATGAATGTACGAGAGACACCGTGTTGTTTCATAGAACATCAGTTATATATAGTGCTTCAAGTCTTGCAATATGATCTTTGTAGAGATGTTGTTTGTTAAGTATGATTGTGTAGCAGAAGTTCTAGTACTTATTTGTGTTTTTCCAGGACATGAATGGTTATGTAGATGTTTTCGCGTCATATAAACGTTTCCAGAAGTTAAGCTGCTTTTTAGCTATAAAATTCGATATATGTTGGTGCATATCAATATATAACCCAAGCTTATGAAATTCTGCGCATTCAGAACAGCGGAGAGGATCATGTAAAGATGATTAATAGTATTTGGTTTTAATGAAGAGGTGTGAATCCAAGTATTGGTATGGGTTTTCTATGTAGTATGTGTGGTGTTACGTTTTATGACAGTTATGATGTTGATTGTTAAAAGGAAGATCAAAAAATAGAAGTGGTTATAGAATGTTCGTGAAATACCTGTTCTTAAAAAAAGGATGTGAATTGCGTTGTTAAAAAGGATGAAATATATTAAGTCAGAGTATTTTTATTAACTGACAAGGCCAGGAGAGTTTATTTGTAATGTTTACAACTTCCACTATTTATCATAAAACGTTTGAATTGGTTTCAATCCGAAATACACATGCGGAAAAATTGAATTTCGTAAACGAGAATAGGATGTACTAGTATTAAAGTTCAAGCGACGGGTTTGGCTAAAAAATGTTCAAGTAGTTCCTTTAAAGATGTGTCAACGTCATATACTCGTCTTGGTTCATATATTGAGGATAATGGACAGAGAGAAACTTTCGGTTCATTGAAACGGGGTAGGTGACGTTTTATCGTGTGAAAAATTTAGATCACATAAAAGTCCTAATAAAAAAATTGTTATTTTCTGTATCAGCTTAGGAAGAGCTTGTCCGGAGTGAAAATACGCAGAAGTTGAGCAAAAACAGAATCGTTGAAGAAAATATAGTATACAAAGGAATACGACCATCGAACTGTACAACAACATTGCATGTATATATATTTTTGAATGAAGGTTTTTTTTTGAAAGAAAGCTTTTTGCATTGAGTCGTTTCGAATTACCAACGGCACTTAATGACTTAACTAAAATTTAATTTAAACAGCATAATTATGCAGTAGCATTTAATCACTGTGTAATAGATTTCTACAATTATAATATTTTATTTGTTCTTACAGAAAAATAGTTCATATTTGCAACATGAATACTGATTTCATTATTCGATGTATAATAAAATATTGTCGGATAACTGAGGTATTGAGCTAATATTTCATAGAGATTATGGATGTGAATGTAAATGTAGCATACAGATTGCCGAACATAATGTTCATCTGTTCACCCACGTCCACACAAAAATTCACAATAAATTTATTAGATATGTGTTAGAAAATAAAAATAACTGATAATCTTTTTCTGAACCGGTTTACGAATTATTTTACACACAATTTTACAAGGGTGGGGTGTGGGTGTGGGCATGCGTGTGGGTGGGTGTGAGTGTAGTTTCAGACAACAAGAATACCCACACCCACACCCGCACATTCACACCCATTGTTCTTATATTATTTTTATAATAGATAAATATAAGAGAGTAAACAAATATATAGAAAGATAGAGAATTTCAAGTGCTATCAGGATATATAATTGCTCTTTCAAAATAAACATTCTACGGTGATGCAAAATCTAAAAAACATAATTTGATTACAGTGACAAAATCATGTCTGTGGGAATCTGGACATCAGGGTGTCTTCATTTTATTCAATTTATGTTGATCATTCAAAAGTGAAAACCAAAATACAAATATACAGGGTAATAGAGAATTTTACGCGCTTTCCAAATACGGTATTATTATTTTAAAAATATGCTGTTAT